ATTCGTTCCATTTCGCTGTCTTAGCTTCCTTCGCAATTACCTTGAAAGCCACTGTCTGCTTGTTGACCTCATCTTTCAGATTGATCAGGCGTTCAGAAAGTGACGGATCAATTTTCCTTGCCTTTTGCCATGCCTTGACAGTTTTCCTTTTTTCTAGCCACGCCATGTTGACTACTTCATTCCACCATGGTGGCTGGGCCCATCTCTCCCGCCGTCTGCGATCTGCTCTTGTTTTACGTCGTCGGATTTTGCTAATGGCATCTTGCCCTGTACGGTCATATATGAACGCAGGCACATTGATTACATGACCTTTGTTGTTGCTCTTCTCTACCAGGACGACGCAAGGAAAGTGATCACTGTCGTGGTATCCCAGTGTGCTCCACCTGCATCCTGATGCAATGGAGGGAGACACTAGGGCCAGGTCAATTACGCTGTCAGAATCCCCTTGTCGTGTTGCCATTCGGGTAACCTTTCCGTCGTTCAAGCATACTAGATTGGCAGACACTAGGGCATCCTCCAGGTCTTCCCCCTGTTTATTAGTGATTTCATTGCCCCACTGGTTTCCTCTGGCGTTGAAATCTCCGCAGTAAATGACTTTCTTTTCCTCCGTCTGGAGCAAACTCTGCCATTTCGCTGTATCCACCTTTCCACAGGTGTAGTATTGGGAAGTGAAGTACCGATTGGTCTAGCCCTATCTACCCAATACACCTGAAGGCGTGGAAAAGGATCCTAATACTACTAGAGTGTGTAATTTATGCAGTGCGAACTCTGAGTGCTGTGAATAACTAATACTGACATCATATTTAATATATTAGTGATTAACAGAACTCAAGAGTTTGCACTGTTAAGGAATCAGTGGGTCTATTCAAAACACCCCCCCCCCCCCCCCCGCTCTGAAACACACATGTGTAAATTTCTAAAAACACTCCCTTTCATGCTATGATGCTAAACTGTCTCATATTGGTTTCTCCTCCCACTTGTATCACTGTCTAGCTCTCGCTCTCTTGCCCTCGACCTTTCTATCCAGTATGGTTTTTAAAAGAGGGTTTTGTCTTTTAATGAGGACAAATTATTTCGATTCTCACGTGCTGCAAATATATGACCAAAGACAATGATTGCACTAAAATGCAAGTCTGTGGTGGAGAGGTTTTACTGCAGATCAATATTCAATAAAAAAAACCCAAAGTTAAGTAGTTTATTCAATAGAAAATGAGACAGAGAAAAAATATGCAAGCGAAATGCCAAACAAAGCAAAATAAGCTTTCTTTAGCCATGTAAAACAGTTACAAAAACGTCAGTGGACAAACTATTAAACATGAAATAATCACATGTCATCAGTATTCTTGAAGCAAGGACCAGCTGCAATCACATGTCATCAGTATTCTTGAAGCAAGGACCAGTTGCAATCACATGTCATCAGTATTCTTGAAGCAAGGACCAGCTGCAATCACATGTCATCAGTATTCTTGAAGCAAGGACCAGCTGCAATCACATGTCATCAGTATTCTTGAAGCAAGGACCAGCTGCAATCACATGTCATCAGTATTCTTGAAGCAAGGACCAGCTGCAATCACATGTCATCAGTATTCTTGAAGCAAGGACCAGCTGCAATCACATGTCATCAGTATTCTTGAAGCAAGGACCAGCTGCAATCACATGTCATCAGTATTCTTGAAGCAAGGACCAGCTGCAATCACATCTTTCTGAGCTTTTACTTTAAACAATACTGCTGACATACAGCTAGGGCAGGTCACATGAATGGAATTCAGTGGATCCCTCCAAAACAGCTTGATGACGTGGACTTCACTGACGCTGCTCATATCTCGATTACAAAATAAGATCTAAGTTAAATTTAACATACTTGATGAGAGATGCGGTTAAGCCAGGCAAAAGGTAATCCAATTTTTCTTGGTGATTTTCAACTCCAAGATGTGTAGCCATACACCTATCTGAGTAAAATAAAGATGGGTTAATTAACAGAGATATTAAAATAGGAATACAAAAGGCAAGACAAGTTTTTCAAAATACTTGGAAAATGTGCAGGTCAAAGGAAATTCAAACTAACAAAACTTAAAATATGTATCTCTGATGTCAAATCAGTACTGCTGTATGCAGCAGAAATATGGAGAACTAAAACAGTTACTAATAATCTATTAATATTCATTAACTGGTGCTTTGCCAGAATAGAGGGAACTGAATGATAGAATCCATATTTTGGAGCTTCGGAAGAGAACTAAACAAATTGGAGTGAAGAAAAGACACAGGTTTTGGATAGGACACATACACTGAGAAAACCTAAGAATAATATACCTAGAAGTGCTTTCTCCCAGAGCCCACAGGGACAGAGACATGAATGCAGAAACACACACACACAAAAACACACATGAAGGAAACTAAAGGATGAATTTAAAAGGATGGGGAGGACATGGGAGTGAGCTATGTGCAACCGCAAAAGATAAGACAACTTGGCATGAGTTGATTTGGACCTATGCTACATTGGGGGATTAGGGGCAGAGGAAGAAGGTTGTATTTAAATAAAATAGCAAGATCTGCAGATGAAACAAAAACTGTCACATGGCAACACATTCACAGCTGTATTCAGAGGAAAAGTCTATTAGTCTATTGGCCATTTCCTTTCCAAAAATGCTGACAGTCGGAGATGTTTTACCTTTTTCTGTGATGCTCATCATCATCCAGTGTTATCTCCTTAATGAGTCCCAAATCTTTTTTTAAATTTTGTGTGTGTCTTTTTTCTTGTTCCTTGATGGCAGTCCAATAGATTAACAAGTGACTCAAAGAGCCACCTTTGGATATGAGTATAGCAGAAAGAAAGCCCAGATATCTGGATATCATAGTAGAATGGTGGCTAGATGCTTGTCCATGAGCTGAAAAGCTTTGGTTACAAATCTGCATGGGTTTGGGTCACAGGTAGAAAAAAAAATAGCTACAAATGTCTTGGAAGTAAGAGAGGTCAATATGATGACCTATGGTGGGCTAACTGGTCTATATAAATGTGAGCCTAGCATCATATGCCCACTGCTCTCCTGGGGTAAAAAGGGTCCTTTGTTTTTATGTTATTTTATTCTGACACCCTACATTTACACAGTAACCTGGTGTCCTATGTTGGTGAGGTCTCAAATACTCTCCATGCTGTGACTTGCTCCTGTAGTTATTCTAATGTGATATTCATCAATGTTATACTCCAATGTTTATCTCTGCACTGGTCAGCCATATTCTGAGTCACAAATAGTTTCTGTGCTAATTTTGTTCTTGCAACGTTGCCTCCTTGTGGGATGCAATTTTTGTTGTTATTTGAAGCCCCACCCAGGCTTCTGCTGGGGGCCTTGAATATAGCAGGGGCATATCTATGGCCTATCCATGGATATGGCCTAATGGCTGAAAAGGATTGTAATCATCACCTGCATGGTGGCACTTTGTGTCACCGGGTGTTTATCCCTTGAATGATGTCCTGTGGCTTGCACCTGAAGTACTTTAGAGTCCAGGTCGGTTACAAAAATCTGTTTTCATGCAGAATCTAAAATGTTTATAATATTAATGTAACACTCATGCAGTGTTATTACCCACTTGGTCAGCCATACTGTGTCTCAAACATCTTCTTTATACCACTTTGATAATGGTTATCTATACTAAGAAGATGATTCTGTCAAAGAAAAGCATCTACAAACAAGATGGTGCTTTACTGGACATATCCTGAGAAGAAACAAGCAACAAAAATCACCCAGCAGGCCCTAAAATTGAAATAAAAGGATTGAGGAAGCGAGGGTATCCAAAAGAAACACTAAAATAAATATTGATGAGAGAAGGCAAGAGTGCTGAACTGAATTCCACCCATGATATCGAAGGGATTGCACAAGATAGAATGGAATGGAGGAATAGACTGCGAGCTCTACGTGACATAAAATGGCACAACAGGACAATGATGATGATGAGATTGTAAATCCTTGGTCGATTATGAACCCACCACCCCAATGCTGATTCAAACAAAATCTGTCTGACAGGCAAGAGTTCTGTCTAATAAGAACATATAAATTATGGAACTTTTCTAAATCTGATCAAGTAACGTTAAGTAAAGAACTATTTTCATGCCAGTGGCGCACTGGGCATATTCTTCTTCCTTTTCTTCATGTTCACCAACTCTAAACTCTGGCAGAAATTTCTGGATGTTTGTCCACCTCCAAACATTAGTCTTGTAAAGGCTGCATACACATCCATTTCACAGATCTAGCTTATGTGTAAGCACTCTTAGTTCCTTGCCTCTCAGGCAGATGCACTCCAACTTCAAAGGATGCCCCAAATCAGTCAACTCCTACCAAATGCTTTTTGGGGAGACAGTGGGTCTATTCTTGTTTTCCTCACAATGGGACCCCAGAACCCATATGGACAGCATTGGACATATAATACTAGACTAACCAATTAGCACTCGGTGGGTGATGTGTCAACATCACTTTGGCAGCCTTTACTTCCCAGGACCTTACCTAGTACCAATTTTAGGCTACACTAAAAGTAATTTTTAAAAAAAAAATCTGACTGTGTGTGGATTGGAACCTAAATTGGGCCAGCAAGTAAGTGTCTAGCTGCAACACTACCTAGACTCTCTGATAGCCTGATACATCCACACTAAATTCGCAAGCTTAAACTCCCTGCCCCTTTGTCTAACAACACCCTAATACAGAGCTATTCAACTGGTGGTCTGGGAGCCCAATTCGGTCTGCAGAGGCCTAACAATTGGTTGGCGAATCTGCTGCCAATTTCTTTATATTCTATGCTGGGACTTGGGTCTTTGGCCCCGTGGCAATCACAATTTTTTAACATTTGGCCCCTGAGAAAACTTAGTTGAATAGCCCTGCCCTAATAAGTGGTAAAAACAGCAATTCTCAGTTACTAATGAGACTTTCACAATTTTGAAATACACACAATTCAAATGAAGCAAAATCTATAGATCTGAAACTTTTCTACACTATAGTGACATTCGCTTTTGCTCATTTGTTATGTTCTGTCAGATCATCTTTTTCATTGCTATTACTCTTCAACAAATGAGTTGCATCTCTTTGTTTGTTCTCACACATATTACTTTCCATAACATCAACCATGTGCTGTTCATCTATTCCTGTATCAAGTTTCTGATTCGCTTCATTATTTTCTTTGTCGTTGTTGCTCTGCTCAATTTCCTCAGTGCTATCTTCAACCGGCCGTATAAACTTGTAGCAAATATTATTGCATTGATGAAAGCCAAACACTTGTCTTATTTTGGCTAGCCCGTTGTCGCTGGAAGACCAAAGATTGGTATCAGCCCAGTGTATCCAGGGGGTAGTCAGCAAATATCCATTCTCAGTCTGTATACCCTGCACAACAGGAGAGACATATGAGTTTGAGTACAAGCATCAAATAATTCAGTTGAGTGACAAATTAATTATGATTATTTAAGCTTTCTTTGAAGTCAGAGTGCATCTGCCTGAGAGGCAAGGAACCAACAGTCTGCATACAAATAAGAAAGATATGTCAAACGGATGCACACGCAACACTCAGGTTCTGGAACAGGACTGCAGTTCCGAATGTTGACGAACAGCCAGAACTTTCCTCTGGAGTTTACAGCTGGTGAACGTGAAGAAGAAGATATTTGTTTAAAACAATGATTAGCCCTTATGAATTTAAATATTGACATAAAGACTATTTTGCACAATATATGTCTTGCATATTTTGCAATATCCTGTCACGTACAATACTACAGAGTTTACAACATATAATGAAGCACAGAACATGAATCATTTCAAATAAAATACACAGATCCCATTCTCGCTTGTTACTTTGTACATCTAACTAAGAGAATTCTAAGATTAATCATGTGATCATCGTAGAAGTCTATGACTGAGGACGAGATACTTTTGTCTGCATAAAACAGGACTGTACATCTTAATTCTCGTAGTAGAAGAGTTCAGCAAATGCATATTGCTGGCAGCCCTGGAAACAATTCCAAGAGGTGAAAGTTAGCAATATAAACCACATTGGAACTGTGATCTAGAGCAACTGCACAATGATATGTGTTGCATGTAGATTTGGGGGTTTGCAACATTGTTTAGCACTATGCTTGCAAACCGTGTTTTCGCGAGTCCACTGGAATGTCCCGTGACCTCAGTCAATATTTGGGGCGGTGCTGACTTAGGCCAGGAGATGTCAGTACAGCTTGAGTCAATATTGTAAGTCGGCGTTGACTTAGGGCTGGATGGACTAACTGATTCACAAAGTGTCAGCCCAGCGCAGGGCGAATGCTCATACTTGGTGTGTGGCGCGGTGATTTATGTCACATGCGTGAGGGTAAGTTAAGTCCAACATGATGTGTAAAAGGAGATACTCCGTACGTCACTCGGGCGCCAGTCCTTTACTATCCTGGTTGTACGGAACCTCACGCAAGACCCCTACAGCACGTCCTCGTCGTGCGCCACGGATAATGTCTCAAATGAGCATTAACAGAGCTGTCAGGGGATCTCGGAGTTTGGCGGCCCCCAGAGGTGATATGTCCTTGTGGCTCTCATCAGCCCGCCCCCAAACGCTTGGGTGAAAAATGTTATCAAAACTCATTAGGAACATGAGTAGGTTAGACAAAAGTACAGCTAAAATTACAACCCTTGGTTAAAAGACTGCAGAGTAAAGAGAACATTGCTCAATGCTCATCATCGGTTAATTCTCAGTGTTGTCGTCACCGCGCTGAGGTGCACCACAACAGCAACCATACATGGGCTGGCCATCCTTGCGCATTCTCGGTTGGCCCTCAGTGTCGTCGTCACCGCGCTGAGGTGCACCACAACAGCAACCATCCATCGGATGGTTAAGCCCAAATGTCCGACAAAACTAGATCATACGGATCAAAATCTGACCATCAAAATTTGCACTGAACTGAAAAAGGCTGAATGTCCACACCCAGAGACCACTTGCCCGAGTGTTGGGACAAAACTGATAACGATATGCCTGATTCAGGATGTGAAATTCTGTCGGGCTAATGTACCTATCTGTGTGGTCACAAAAGTCCAAAACCAACGGGCTGCTCCCCCCTGACTTCCAGAGGGCGCAGCCCCTGTCGAGAGGAAGGCCTGATACGGCTGTGAGGTTAAGCAGGCATGTGCAGGACGTGACGATTCCTTGGGTGAGCCCAGAACCAGAGCGCCATGTGCCGGCTCTGCATGCATGGAAGCCTCCTTGGATGGCGGGGAATGCCCATGATCTGCCCCTGCCTTCCCTTGAGGGCCAACTGTTTCACAGGGGGCTGCCCCAAAGGGGTACTCCGGGGGCAATACCTGCGGCGAAGGAGACAAGGACACCACACAAACCAGGCAAAGTCTCGACCCACACAAAACAATGGCCACAGTCACCCTAGAAATAGGCCTGACGTCTTCCTTCGAAGTCGGCGTACAGCTGCCCAAGAGGCAGGGAAATGAAAAACGGTTGTACACGCAAAAATCAGGTCCAGGTGAAAGCCAAAAGTCCAAGCGGACGATTAACCGGGACCTTCCACTGGAATTCACAGCCGGTGTTCGATGGAAAAAAAAAAAAATACTTGGTGTTTGGATAGCAGCAATTGCACGAAAAGTTTTCTTAGTTAGGGGAATTACGCATAACAGTGAGCGTCTCATGTGCATGGAAGAGCTCACAAGGGGCAGGCATGTGTATATACTAGGGTTGAGAACAGGTGAGGGAGAGAGAGAGGTAGAAGCACTCTTGAGAGACTGGTCTAGAGGACAGTCGAGAGTGCAGTCAAAGGAAGAGAAGTCTACTTGGTAGAGTTGGTCCAAGAGAGCTGCACTACTGCTAGAAGAAGCTGTCTTTGGTGATGACGCATGCTTGGTGGTAGTGATCACTACTGAAACAAGACAGCAGAGATGTTGGCAACAGCTGTGTGCTGAAAAAGACTCGGAGCCAGTCACTGTGGTTTCTTCAACCAAGCTGATGTGCTGTGTGCACATTCTGAAGATCTAGTATTGTGAAGTTTTCTAGTCAGCCAATGTGACAGTGTCTGCTACGCATAGAGCAACGGAGGTCAAGTTGAGTGGGAGATGTAACCTGTTTGAACCCTGAAGTGAGGGAAGCATGAGACCTAGGCACTGTAGCGGTCAGCTCAGCGTGTAGTGGCAGCTAGTGTAGGCTGTCCGGGAGATTTGAGTGAGCTAAGCATGGGACATTCATTTCATTATTAGCTAGTGATGTGTATGATTACTTCGCTTGTATTATTTTGTGTGAGGGTTTATGTATGCCCGATCGTATTTGTGACAATAAATGTGTACATATGGTGGCAAAAGGTCGTTGAGTTTTCCTGACATTTTGTGTGTAAGTTTGGTACAGCAGTTTGGAGTGTGAATCATATCCAGGACACTTGGTTGTGTGCTGTCTTCCCACTTTAGCACACAACAAAATGGAAACAGAAAGAACAAAAGCTGAAACCAGACCTTGTCAAGAGCTATTCAACGAATACCAACATGCAAAGGCCAAATTTCAAAGAGTCAAGCTGCAGGCTAGATGGGCAAGCTGGCAGGAAAAACAAAAAAATAGTCTCTAAACTTTGGAAGAGACACAAGGAGGCTGTGGAGGCTAGTGAAACAAATTAATGATGACAGTACAGGGAGAAATGCAAATATTGCATTATGCAAAGAGGGACATCTCATAGGATACCAGTGCCAGATGTGGTCACTCACAACAAAACACAAAAGAAAATTAGTAACCATGGAAATGAGGTGTCTGAGAAAGGCTGTAGGAGTGACCAGAAGAGATAAAATCAGGAATGAGGTCATGCGAGATAAAGTCGGTACAGAACCAATTCTAAATTACATACAGACAGCAAATCAAATGATTTGCCCACTTGAAGAGAATGCCTTCTGATGAAATAACTGAGAAGACACAATCCCTGTCAGTCACTGCCTGAAGTCTAACAGATGATATACTATGTAAGAGCTAAGGTCTCCCCTCGTGACTGATCTTGACTCACTTGCAGAATCACCCCTGGAATGTGTGTAGCCATAATGGGATGTGTTCTGCTGCTTAACAAGCTGTTTTTTTCCCCATTTGATCAATGACAGTTAACTAGTATCTGCGTTTACATGAATTATTTCCTTCTGAAAATAATCTTCTGGAAACCCCCTTTGACAAAAGTAAGGATCACATAGAGGCTGTTGTGACAAAGGCTCAAAAAAGTCTTAATGCACTAAATATTATGGCAGCGATGGACATGGAGCAGAGAATGCTGTTCCCACTTTACCAGCACTTAATCATTCCAGTGATTCATGGATTGGGGTTACTCATTGTCTCGAAGTCAGCTAGAAAAACTGGAGCACATACAGAATGAAGCTATGCGGTTGATCCTGGGATGTACAAGAGACACCCCGACTGTGTACATGCGATACAATCCTCGCATTGCCGACTATTGCAGATAGGCTAAAGGTGCTGCAGGCTGAGTCATACCTTTGATTTGATATTCTTTTACTATTATATTCACAATTTCTTTCAGATATGTTACATTTTCAGCATTCAAACTAAATCACCAGCATATTTCATGTCCCCGACCAATATTCTTGGCATACCTTGCATGGACCTCATTACTGTTTCACTGTGCAAACTGAATAAATTGGGTAACAGGGTAACATCACTGTCAGTTTGTTTCATGTTTTTAAAAGTTCACACCTGTCAATTATTGCGGCTGCTTTTTGTTGCCAGTATATTTTCTTTAAAATTATTCTCAGATTTTTGCCATCCATGTTTAAAGTTTCAAATACTGTAAAAATTTATTTGGATATACACAGCATCAAATCAGGCAGGTTCAAACCCAAAGCTAAACTGGTGTGACAAAATAATCCAGTCTCTGCTGAGAACCCCCCTGATATGTGATCCTCTTGCAGTACAACACGTTAAACAAAGTTCACCTCTAGACACTGGGTCCATGTGTGGGTTTGAAGATCCCCTTTCAAAAAGAAAAAGAATTGACCCACTGCCCCATTCATAAGCATGGAAAAGTCAATTAACTGGGGGTGTATCCGTTCAAGTCAGAATACATCTGTCTGTAAGTCAAGGAACCGACAGTCTACATAAAAACAAGTCAGATCTGTAAAATGAATGTACAAAACTCGAGTTCTAGAATAAGATCAAAGTCCAGAAGTGAACAAACAACCATAACTTTTCCACCAGAGTTTACAGCCATTGAACGTGAAGAAGAAGAAGAAGACTACTGGGAACATGAGCATACACAGGTTCATTATGTGTGTGGACAAACACAGGTCAATGTACTACACACGTAATTATGTGTGTGGACAAACACAGGTCAATGTACTACACACGTAATTATGTGTGTGGACAAACACAGGTCAATGTACTACACACGTAATTATGTGTGTGGACATACACAGGCTAATGTACTACACACGTAATTATGTGTGTGGACATACACAGGCTAATGTACTACATATATAATTATGTGTGTGGACATACACAGGCTAATGTACTACATATATAATTATGTGTGTGGACATACACAGGCTAATGTACTACATATATAATTATGTGTGTGGACAAACACAGGCTAATGTACTACATATATAATTATGTGTGTGGACATACACAGGCTAATGTACTACATATATAATTATGTGTGTGGACAAACACAGGTCAATGTACTACATATATAATTATGTGTGTGGATATACACAGGCTAATGTACTACATATATAATTATGTGTGTGGACATACACAGGCTAATGTACTACATATATAATTATGTGTGTGGACATACACAGGCTAATGTACTACATATATAATTATGTGTGTGGACAAACACAGGTCAATGTACTACATATATAATTATGTGTGTGGACATACACAGGCTAATGTACTACATATATAATTATGTGTGTGGACAAACACAGGTCAATGTACTACATATATAATTATGTGTGTGGACAAACACAGGTCAATGTACTACACACGTAATTATGTGTGTGGACAAACACAGGTCAGTGTACTACACACGTAATTATGTGTGTGGACAAACACAGGTCAATGTACTACACACGTAATTATGTGTGTGGACAAACACAGGTCAATGTACTACACACGTAATTATGTGTGTGGACATACACAGGCTAATGTACTACACACGTAATTATGTGTGTGGACATACACAGGCTAATGTACTACATATATAATTATGTGTGTGGACATACACATGCTAATGTACTACATATATAATTATGTGTGTGGACATACACATGCTAATGTACTACATATATAATTATGTGTGTGGACATACACAGGCTAATGTACTACATATATAATTATGTGTGTGGACATACACAGGCTAGTGTGCTAAACATGTAATTATGTGTGTGTGTGGATTTACACAAACTAATGTACTAAACATTTAATTATGTGTGTGGACATACACAGGCTAGTGTTCTAAACACGTAATTATGTGTGTGTGTGTGGACATCCACAAACTAATGTACTAAACATTTAATTATGTGTGTGGACATACACAAACTAATGTACTAAACATTTAATTATGTGTGTGGACATACACAAACTAATGTACTAAACATTTAATTATGTGTGCGGACATACCTGAAAACCACACAAAACAAATTTGCCTCCACTCTCATGGTAGCTGAAATGAAGGAATGCATCGAGAGTAGTTGGTTCATCACTCAGCCTTTCTCCTGTTTTTCTAATAAACACCTGGAATTTATTCTAGGAATAAACAAAAATCATTTTTTTAATAACTCAGGAACAATTACAATTCTTCAAAATCAAAATCTTTAATAAAATATGGTAAAGGATTTGGTTCTAAAGCATAACTCAGGATTTGTAAGGGTATTCCATGTACAAGTAATTTATCACATACCTAACTAAAGCATGTTGAAATATTCACAAGGAATCGAAACAGACACTGGCTTCCCCCACTTTTCACCATAGCATATAAAAAAAATTTCATCAGCTGTGAAGACACTGTAACCATTTCAAATAAAAGCTCATAACCAAAACAGTTTCTTTTCAACTAACTTTTGGGTAATACTTTTTAGAAAACTATTCAGGTTTTATTTACAAGTTAATCAATGTACTCAGTTAGGAAATAATTTGTGAATAAAAACAATTAATCAGTTTATTACCTGCAATAATTCTGTTATTCAAAACAATGTTGTCCCATTGTAAATTTGCACAAAGAAGACACAAACAATAGATTGTACAAATAATTGCCTGGCATATTTTGCTAAATCTTGTCAGGTGCATACTAGAGTAACAGTTAAACTAGTACATGATAGCTAATCAGGAATGTTGAATGATACTAACTGTTTAATTAAGAATTAATATCACAGCACTCAGGATACTCCCATATGTGCTCCCTACACACATCTAATTCTTGCTTAGACACTTTGGTCCACTCATTTCCTCTCCAAAATTTATCAAGCCTGCACACATTTCTAATTGTGTCTTCAGCTTGCACCATCCAAGACCTCCTTCCTCTTTTCAGTAGCAAACCAGGAAACAGTGTACAAATGTAAAACAAAGTTCTGTCCAAGTATCAATATATACATACATATTCTTAAAATAAGGGCGAAACTTTATGTTTGATTTTTAAACCAACTCAACAACCTATTCTGATAAATATTTTGAGTTTTAAAAAATTAAAAATTGAAAAAGAAAAAAGATACCCTTTCTGACATTTAAAAATTAAATAATCTGTTTTTTTTTTTAAATATCCGTCGACCTGTATCAAGCGGCATAATGTTAAAACTGAACTCATTAGTTTCCATGACAACCTTGCACTCACCTCAAGTGTGAGGTTCTCCTCTATTAAAACCCACTCCTTCAAATCTAAGTGCCTGGATTTATGTCTGGTCAGGTAACATCCAACCCCTAGCCTTTCAACAGTTGATTTCAGTGGGAGGGTGAAGTTGATCTTGTATTGTTGGTTGGGTATCAGTTTGTTAAACTTTCTTGCCAGCCTTCTTCCCAGACTGTGCTTACTAATTTCCACATCACACATTTCTTCTGTCCCTGGTGAGTCTCTAAATACCTAATCATGTAAAAGAAAAGTTATAATAATTCTATTAATTGTAATTCATTTATAATCCTGTTGTGTCATTACATATCACATAGGGCTCATAGTCTATTCCCCCATTCCATTTTATCCTGCGTAATCAGTTTGATATCATGGATAAAATACAGTCCAGCAGCTTTGGCTCTCTAATCAGTGTTCATTTTAAGGTTTCTTTTGGGTGTCCTCGCCTCCTTAGTCTCTTTATTTCCCATTTAATGCCTGTTTGGCGATTGCTGGTTTCTTCTCAGGATGTGTCCAGTGTAGCGCTATCTTCTCTATCTTATACCTGTGGATACTAGTGGTTGTCCAGACATTTCTTTTATTTCTCCACTCCTTTTGAATTCATTCCATTTTATTTTTATAATTTTCCTCAGTCATTTGTTTTCGAATGCATTTAACTTTCATTTCATGTCTTTAGTGGTTCTCAAACTGTCACTTGCACATGTTAAAAATGAAAAAAACATTTGGACTGAAAATTTGTAACTTGGTTTTAAAACTGTACAATTTAGAGATTACTTGTAATTAGGAAAGTGAATATGTTAAATTTAGATTTGTTATAATTCATTTCATAAGAAAGTGATTATTTCATTTTGGTATTAGTGTCTTTAATTTCATGCATGTCTGCACTGAAAGATCTGCATAAGGGTTTATGGCGACCCATATAATGTGATAATGTAGTCTGGATGACCTTTGGGCATTAAGAAAGTTATACAGCTCTTATCTTGGCAAATGTTTTTCTGCACTCTAAAAATATGTCAGTGACAAAATAACATGCTGATAAAAAGGATAAACATTGATTTTAAACTGTCACAACATGTGTAAATAGTTTCAGAAATAGAAACAAGGTATCAAAAGGGTAAGTGTACTTGTATACCAGCTGACACCATTTGGGAATCCAAACATAAATATAGTCACCAAGTAACAGAGAGAGTATAAACAGTGCATTCATATAAAAACTGCCACTGGTGCCAAACTTGGACAATATCAAAGGCTCACATATATAAAATTAACATGACATAACATAACCCTTGACCCATTAGGGTCGTAGAGGTGTATTGATGGAAGCACTAGTAAATAAAACCTGCCATCTTTCTCTGGCTTCTGCTTGATAAATAAGTGTATGATAACTTAGTCCTGTCCATTTCTTGATGTTGTTATTCCAGGTTCTTCTTTGCCCTCCTCTTCTTCAACTACCCCCAATGTTCCTTGAAGTACAGTCTTTGCAATCAAATCATGTCTCACCACGTGCCCAAACCAAGCTAGCTTGCGACATTTCACCACTGCCAAGTGAGGCTCCTGATGTCCCACAAATTTGTATATTTTGTCTCTGACATATCTATTAGTTTTGTGTTCTAAATAAATATTTCGTAAACTGTGTCTGTAGCATTTACATTCTATAGTCTGAATCCACCTTTCCATTTCCACAGTTAAGAGTCCAGCTCTCACATCTTTATGAGAAAATAGACAAAACCAGTGATTTGTATTTATTGACACTTGTGAGATAAAATGCATCAAGAAATCGGCCACACAAACCATCTGAGACTGAGAGAGAAATGATACTTTCAGAGAGAATGACAGAGAGAGAAATGATACTATCAGAGGGAATGACAGAGAGAAATGATACTTTCAGAGAGAATGACAGAGAGAAATGATACTTTCAGAGAGAATGACTGAGAGAGAAATGATACTTTCAGAGAGAATGACAGAGAGAGAAATGATACTATCAGAGGGAATGACAGAGAGAGAAATGATACTTTCAGAGACAATGACAGAGAGAGAAATGATACTTTCAGAGGGAAGGACAGAGAGAGAAATGATACTTTCAGAGAGAATGACAGAGAGAGAAATGATACTATCAGAGAGAATGACAGAGAGAGAAATGATACTTTCAGAGAGAATGACAGAGAGAGAGAAATGATACTATCAGAGAGAATGACAGAGAGAGAAATGATACTATCAGAGAGAATGTGGGAACAATACCCTATACCACAGTTACTGAGATCTCTACCATTGCCGGTCTCAAGCCTATATGATAAAAAAAGAGGTCTGGTCAGGGGGTAGCTCCCTCAGCTTGTAAAAGCACTTCTTGCTACAGAAGCTTGCAGGAAAGGATACCATTCTGGTACAAGCAGGAAATCACCAAACAGGCACTAAAATGGGGAAAAAAGGGCTGAGTAAGGGAGAAGGTCCCAAAGAAACCCTAAAACAAACATTGATGAGAAAGGCCAAAGGTTCTGGACTAAATTCCATCCATGATATTTAAAGGATTGCACAGGACAGAAAGGATTGGAGGGAAAGAGTGCGTGCCCACCCTATGTGACATAACAGCACATCTGGACAATGGTCATGGAGAAACGGAAGATCAAATAATTTGGTCATCTTCTTGGAATAAAGAAACAATTATCATCACTGGTGTGCTATATCTAAAAAAGATCTGACATGTGAGTAGCAAGGCTCCCCAAGGAGAAAATGGACTGATGATATTAAAGATTGCATACATCCACACAGAAAGACAATATGTAAATGTAAAGGTAAAAGTAAAAGGTTTAACTTCATTGCACCGGTTTTTATCCCATATGGCTCAGTCTCTCTCCACAGAATAGCTAGCTGCCTGCTCAGAGCGTCTCACAGAGCACGACCTCCATAGCGCTGGCAATGATTACCTGGGATCTCCGAGAAAATTGCATCTGTGAACTGAAGGGTGCTGCTGTGAGATGAATCCATGACCCTCAGAGCGTGAGGCAAATGGCTCGATCACTTCGCCACGATGACCCACAAAGACAACAGCCAGTGCCACTCATCAAGTGCTGGATCATAAACTTTTATCCCATAACATTTAGATGCAGAAGTAAAAAAAAAAAAGATAAAGATGAGGATGTTGATAACTACACGTATAAAGTTACACCGAAATGTGGCCATTCAACCAACCTTAACAACTGCATGTTCACCCTTTCGTGGCCCCATTCCTTCCAAGTGACCATGGTAAATTTTCTTTCGAGGTCCTCTTGCAAACGAGTGAGTATGAAAACTGGCACGGTATTCTTGACCTTTCAGATCTGGACAGGATTCACTAGTCTCATTTTTAATGTAAGGGATATATAGTGGCATGACTGCGATACGATTTCCTGGCTCTGAAATGATTACACAGATAAGAGAACATTATTTCTAGCTACATAAAAACTGAAAACTATTCTCAATTTAACAATCAATCATTCTAATACATCAAATCTAGTGTCATATAAATCATCACACTAGAAACACATGAGAAGCTACTGAACTTGAATTTTAAGATTTGGAATGTAATTTTATACATATTGTTATTATAACATGCTACAGAGTTACTCAATTAATATACAAAATGTTAAATGCCATGGTAGGATGATCAGCAGAAAGAAAAGTAGCCAAGTTTAAAAAAAAAATAAAAAGACATTTACAAATTAAGATTGTTATTTAATGCTGATTTATAGGTGAACAATGTGGGTTCCAGATCCTCACTGGTGGTGGTGGTGGGGAAAGGGGGGTTAGGGGTGGGAACAGACCCACTGCCTATTAACAATGCTGTCATAAATAGCAAGCAAGTAAGTAGGGGGTTTTCCTTCAAACTGAGAGTGCATTTGCCTGAGGGGCAAGAAACCAACAGTCTGCATACAGATCTGAATAAAGAATATGTACATAAAACTCAAGATATGTAACAAGATGAAAGTCTAGAAGTGGACAAATAACTAAAACTGTCCGCCAGAGTATACAGCCAGTGAACATGAAGAAGAAATAGAAGAAGCAGCAGCAACATTTCTGTCACGTGGAGGCAACTCACCTGTACTGTTATGTCTAGAATGTGGTCCCCCTGAGATACAGCACAACTTTCATGGTATGCAAATCAAGAAGCGTATTCTAATGACTGCTACATGCAACACGCTAATGGTAGCAGAAAGAAAGAAATATAAGGTAATGAAACAAAATATTTAAACAGATTTAGGCAATTCACTGGTACTGGTATCTGGAGACTGTTGAAGATACTGCTCTTTCACTAGTTTTCCTTCAAGCTATTCTTGCATACTTAGAACTATCACTTGTTATTTGAGATTCAGAAGATTATCTTATTTTCAAGGACTATTTCATGTTTCTTCTTTCTGTTCTTTACATTCACTAGCTGTAAACTCCGGCAGAAAGTTCTGGTTGTTCATCCACTTCATGCATATACATTTTACAGATTTAGTTTATTTGTATACAGCCTGTTGGTTCCTTGCCTCAGAAACAGATGCACTTCAATTAGTCGACACTTATGACATGCTTCGGGGTGGAGGGGGCAATGGGTTTATTCCCCCCCCCCCCCCCCCCCTCATGGGGCATAGGAACCCAGACGGGAAAGTTTATTGCTATATTACCTTATATTATTTAACAAATAATTTATAGCGATTGGCTGGCGATTGGTCGGGTCAATATTTGGGTCTGTCTCCTGTAATCGTACCAACACTGCAAGAGTCCTTTTCATGGCTTCTTGGTGGCAAGCAGTGTTAGGCCATTTTAAATGGCGCGCTTAAACCTATTCACAATTATAACCAAAATCTCCCCCTTGGGGGATGCTTGTTGAACGTGACTTTTTTTTTTGGGCTTAAAATCGAATCGGATCCGAAATAAATGTTACAATACAAGATTGAATGCAGCCTGTTTTTAGTGCGACTAATTAAATCGTGAGCTAATTAACTATTGACATCCGCATCATCAGAACTGTAGTCTGTAGGTATTCAGTTGCTTCTTGGTAATGACTGTTTCTCAAAGATGGGTCATTAAATAAATAGTAGACATGACATGGGATCCCTGGTCCACCCAGCCTATAATGGATACCAAGTAAAGTCCTGGAAAGTAAAGGCAACCGGCATGATGTCAGGCACATCAACCATCAAGATAGGTCTATAAAAAAGGACCTGAACTTCACTTACAGTTAGTAGTAGACCACACAGTGTCTACAAAGGTGCCGAACTCACCACAAAATGTGTACTTAGCGCTGAGAAGATTATAATGGCTATAACTATAAATGTGCCTATACTGCAGGACAATGAAGAAAACATCTAGTAGTAATAAACTCAACAACAACAATAATCAAATCTTATCGAAGTAGTAATTAGTATTAAACTGGGAAGCAAAGGTGGCTAACGTTATGTTGACATCACCCACAAAATGACTTCTCTATAAAATATAGGTTTGGCCCTATATGCCTAATATGCCTTAATGTGTATAAAAGTGTCGTTTACTTTTACTTTACTTTATTTAATTTTAGCACTATTACTGAACACATTAAATAAAATTAATCAGAATGATATAATAATAATAATGGGAGATTTTAATGCTAAAGTAGGTACAGGCAGAGATGAAAATGAGAGACACGTTTTAGGAAAATTTGGATTGGGTAATAGAAATGAAACAGGAGAAAAATTGATTGAATTTTGCATAGAAAATGAATTAACAATAGCTAACACACTTTATAAACAACACCCTAGAAGGCTTTTCACATGGACATCCCCTGACGGTGTTACCAAAAATCAGATAGATTACATTTTAATACAAAGAAGATGGAGATCGAGCATAACATCTGCAAAAACCCTGCGAAGTGCAGATTGCGATACAGATCATCAGTTACTAGAAGCAGATCTAAAATTAAAACTCAAAAAGCTTACCCGAGGACCAAGGCCATTTCGATTTGATCTCACAAAAATACCAGATGCATACAACGTAGAAGTGAAGAACCGTTTTGAGGTCTTGATGTCTGTACAAGAGGAAATGACACCTGATGAACTGGCGGTACAAGCTAGGGATATCTTGATAACAGCAGCTAAAGACTTAATACCCACCAGGACTAAGCAACATAAACCATGGATCACACCATACACGTTAGAACTAATAAAACAACGAAGAGAACTGAAAAAGAAAGGAGAAACCAATGATAGTAGGATGAAGTATAAATTTTTTACACGAGAAATAAGAAAGTACACAAGAAAGGATAAAAATCAGTATGTACAAGATTGCTGTATTAAAATAGAGCAGCATCACAAAAATGGAAGAGATTACGAAATGTTCAAGGAAATGAAGTTATTGACAAGAAATTTTCAACCTCAGTTAAATGTTATTTGTGACAGGTTGGGAAATACTTTAACAGAATCTAGACAAATTCTAGGAAGATGGCAGGAATACTGCAGCGGAATGTATGATATGAATGACAGTGAGGATATGAATGATATACATGAACCAGTAACAGTAGAGGCAGAACCTGAACCTTCATTAGATGAAATTTCATGGGCAATAAGGAGCCTGAAAAATGGTAAATCACCTGGATGTGATGAGATACCAGCTGAATTGATTAAAGCGGGAGGAGAAGAAAGCATAAAAATCTATCATGCATTATGTGAAAAGATATGGAAATATGGTATTTGGCCAAAAGACTGGAAGAGAACTATCTTCATTCCAATACCAAAAAAGGGTGACCTGAAATTATGTACAAACTATCGAACTATTGCCCTGATCAGTCATGCAAGTAAAATTCTACTAAAAATTATAATGAGAAGACTGCAAAAGAAAATGGAAGAAGAGATTAATGTAGCTCAGGCTGGATTTAGACAGGGAAGAGGAACAAGAGATCATATATTCAACATGCGTTTAATAATAGAGAAGTGTAGAGAATTTAATGTAAATCTGTTCTTATGTTTTGTGGATTATTCAAAAGCATTTGACTGTGTACAACATCAGAAGCTTTGGGAAATCATGAGGAATATGGGCTTTCCATCACATATAGTGCAGCTCATTAAAAATGCTCTATCAAGACCAACAAGCAGCAGTCAGAATAGATGGAGAGACATCAGACTGGTTTGGCATCAAGCAAGGAGTCCGTCAGGGATGTGTGCTGTCACCGTATTTGTTCAACCTGTACGCCGAAAATATAATGAGAAATGTAAGAGATGATATAAACAAGGAACAATATGATGCCCTAAACATCGGTGGTCATGAAATACCAGAAATTCGTTATGCTGATGATACAGTATTACTATCAACATCACAAAATGGTTTAGAAAACTTATTAACCTCACTCCAAAGAAATAGTGAAAATCATAACTTATTTCTTAACACAGCAAAAAACAAAGATAATGCATACAAACAAAACTGCCATGGAGAAGGAAATATATGTTAATGAGGAAAGATTGGAAGTGGTGGAAAATTTCGAATATCTTGGGTCACTGGTTACCAACAATGGTGACACAATGAAAGAAATTAAACGGCGACTATCAATTGCTCTTCAAAGACTAAAACAACTGAATAAATTATGGAATTGTACAGATAGAATTACAAAGGTCAGATTTTTAAGAGCATGCATCTTTCCCATTGCAACATACGCCTGTGAGACCTGGACACTTACTAAACAAGCGGAACAGCGCATAAATGCATTTGAATATAAATGTTACAGACAGGTTCTAAGAATATCTTGGGTAAAGAAAAGAACAAATGCATCCATACTTCAAGAGCTGAATATTGAAGAGGGTTGGCTAGTAAAGACAATAAAACAAAGAAAATTGAAATATTTTGGTCACTTGAAACGTCATGGAGGTCTAGAGAGAACAATAATGGAGGGGTATATGCCTGGGAAGAGAGGAAGAGGAAGGCCAAGGAGAAGATGGGTGCAGGATGTGGCAGATGATCTCCAGATGGGTGTATCAGACGCAGGACATCTTGCTCATGATAGGAAGGTTTTCCGGAGGGTTGTTATGGCAGCGAGGTTCCGCGAGGGACATGCTACTGAATGAATGAACTATTACTGATAACTGTCAGGTCGACCCAGCCTTAAATGGGTACCAGGTACAAGTGCTGGGATGTAAAGGCAGCTGATTTTATGCTGACCAAATCCCCCACCCAGTGACGATAGGGCACTGGCCTATAAAATAGAGGTCTAGCCCTATATGCCTGAAAGCGTGGAAAAGGGTCCTTTACTTTTTACTATTATTAATAATACTAACAAGCAAATACACTTACTTATCAACTTAGCGCAACAATATCAATCAGAGTAACACAAATCCTGTAAATGTGACTGTTAGTCATCAGTTCTAATGCCATCAGACCTGTGG